CTTCCGATAGTTTGTGACGCGGGGGGATTGTAATCTCGCGATATTCTTCTTTACTGACGCACAGCAAACTTCCACATGAACTTCGAACCGCAGCCAAAACTTTCTGAATCAATCAGACCTTCAGTTAAACTTATAAAATATCCTGACAGTGTTTCCTGCACTATTTGTTCACTTGTTCGCAACAGATTCGACAGAAGTCTACATCGATTCCTAACGGAATGGTTCTTATGAACCGATTCCTTTTAATGAATCGTTAACATAACGTTCAAAAGTGTAGTCCGATTCCCGGATGGAATGATTCTATTGAGTCGATTATTTTTATTGAATCAAACACACACAGCTTGCAACTAACTGAAACTTAAAACAGCGTACTTCATATGACAAGGTTAAGATGTTAAGTAGAGAAGTATATGAAGATAAACTGTGTCACAGGTCGCAATTAAATATTAAGCTGCATTTAAAAATTAAATGTTGAGTTTTTAAATTGCAAATGCTGCCTGTAAAGTCATATAAAACAAAAACTGGGCCTAAGAAAAAGTTAAATAATAAATGATGGAATGCTTTCAAATGTCTTTATTTTGTATGTTTGTGCGTACTTATACTATTTTGTATGTTTGTACTGTACGTACTTATAGTGATGTTTATTACCAGACCAGGTTGATATTACTGTATGTGACCCTGGAGCACAAAACCAGTCTTAGGGTCCATTTTTTCGATTTATATGAATGAATATCTGAATGAATAAGCTTTCCATTGATGAATGGTTTGTTAGGATAGGACAATATTTGGCTGAGATACAACTATTTGAAAATCTGGAATCTGAGGGTGCAAAAAAAATAAAAATAAATAATAATAATATTGAGAAAATCACCTTTAAAGTTGTCCAAATTAAGTCCTTAGCAATGCATATTACTAATCAAAAATGAAGTTTTTATATATTTACGGTAGGAAATTTACAAATTATCTTCATGGAACATGATCTTTACTTAATATCCTAATGATTTTTGACATAAAAGAAAAATCAATAATTTTGACCCATACAATGTATTGTTGGCTATTGCTACAAATATACCCCAGCGACTTAAGACTGCTTTTGTGGCCCATGGTCACGTATGTGTATCAACTGCTAAGCTAAACAATGAAATATATTTCACAGTTAAACACTTACTTTCTGTTGCAGAATTTTATCGATGTACTAATTAATTTCCTCTTTGTTTTACACATCTAGCTGTGGTAAGAAACTAAGCCATGAGAGGCCAGTGCTTGACATAATGCTGCTGAGAAGCACAGAGACTCCAGATGAATCTCTTCGAGTCAAAGCCAGACTGAAGGCTGTGCATCGGTGCTCTGAAAGCATCAGTCTGGGCAAACTGGCCTTTTTCCACTGTCTGGAGAGAGTCGAGACCATGTGCTGCTTCTGGGAGCTGAAACATATCGAGCTTGAGGGCAAACAGGTAGAAATACAAGCACACACACACATACACACACGCACGCACACACACACACACACACACACACACACACACACACACACACACACACAGACAGCTGAAATAAATATTATTTAAATGTGATCTAAGTTTTGAATTCCATGCCAGTCATGCCTAGCACTATTAACAGCTAGGTTACTGGTTTGAATCTTCTAAAATGTTTAGCTTTTAGACTGCCAATCCATAAGTGTGCATTTATGGTAAAGTTTGAGGTCTTTCTCTCAAACCTTGGCTCCCCAGAGATAAAACATTGTAGACTGCTGCCATCCAGTGGAAGGCTTGTGCTACAGACTCACGTTAAGCACATGCAGCTACATGGAAATCAACTAAAAGTCTATTGGATCTGTTGTTCGTTTGTTTGTTTTTAAGGAGTGCGTGTGCATTCCAATTCAAATAACAACACAGATAATGCAATGGTAATAAGAACAGCTTTGTAGATCACACCAGTGCATTGTAGAACAAAGACAGAGAATGACAATGTGCTGATGAATTGTTCTTTAATTAAATCTGATGACTGCACATGTACAGGTGCATCTCAATAAATTAGAATGTCGTGGACAAGTTGATTTATTTCAGTAATTCAACTCAAATTGTGAAACTCGTGTATTAAATAAATTCAATGCACACAGACTGCAGGACCAGATTGTGTATTTCTATTGTTCTTAACTTTTTAATTTATCCCAGCTTTGAGGCACAGTGGCATAACCACCTAAAAAGGCCAAATGAAATAGATAAAATCATTTTGAAATAATTAATTTTGTTATTTTATATATATATTAATTTTATATTTTTAAATTATTTAATAATAAATTATGGACAAATAGCTAAAATATAGCATTAAAAATATACAAAAGTCAAGAGTCAAGAGTCAAGAAGCATTTATTTATCATTTGCATAGTTAACACTGGGGAAAACTGGGCATTGAAATGCTTGTGACGAGGCTCAGACATACAGTGACAATAACACGAGTTTGATAGATGTCCTGTAGTGCTGGGAGTTTACAAAATGTGAATACATAGATTAATGAGTATTTTATTAATGAAGTAGCTTAAACTGGTTTGCACATAAATGTTACAAAGTTGAAATGAAAAAAAAAAAAGAATGCTGAAATGCAACCATTACATAGGAACAATGGCTGTGGGAAAGCAATGCGACACCTTTGAACACTACAGCAAAAAACACTCAGTTGTGACCAACCTTCAGCTACTGTATGTTATCTTACAGCATGAAGTGTCTGTCATAGGAAAGCACCATGTGCTGTCATGAAGCATGCAGTCTCATGAATAAATATGAGATATCTGCACGTCATCAGTGTACTATAGCTGTCACGCCTCCATCAGGCTCTCCACCTCCATCCACATTCTGCTCACATTTCCTTCTAACCATCCGCCCCTGCAAACAATAACTGTACCTCGTTAAAGACTGGATGTATTCTCCATTCACTGATCACAGTCTCACCTAGGACAGGTAATGACCAAGCAGCTCCAATTCAATGTTTCATCCTCATCTTCCTCAATTGGCCTATCGGTAAGCCCCTCCCCTCGAACGCAGATGAGCCAATGGCAGTTGAGTATCAGTTGCACGGGGAACAGGACTCGGACATCTTTAGGCTTCAGCGCCATAGAGAAACAGATCCGAAGTTTTCTTCGGTTTGATGGTGTTTGTGCTACAAAAATGGAAAAACGATGTGCCAGGGGTCCTTCTAACACTGATTCCAGGTATCCCGAGAGGATGGGCAATTACATTTATTTTATTACATTTCCTAAACACAAATGAAACAGAGCAAAATGTCCCTAAGCATTCAACCCCAATCCCAATGAAGACGAAAACGTTCATTTTCTGGTTGCCATACTCTCATTAAGTTAAATTATCATCTGCTCAAGCAGAACGTTAATGCCATCTTGTGCTTCAGCAAGCTATCTCCGGCTAAAACTAACGTTAAAGTTAGTGAGTCCATGCTATCGTACGGTACAAGCACAAATAGCGGACTGTTCTCACGTCATGTACAGTGTAGTTAAGTCAAACATACATAAACGAAGGTCTACATTTTAGTGCCTCTCCATATTAAACTGTTTAAATGTAAATTAATGTAATCTTACCCTGCAGTACACGAACAGTGTTGATCCGGGATGTTATCATTGCGATCGTGACGAGACTTCTCCTGTTTGCATTGTGATCTGTATTTTTACATATGTATTTTGAGATATTTTCTTTGTGTGCACTTCTTCAGTGTCCAAAATGTATCAAAAACATCTAGGGATACGGTTTTCACACTGACAGCTGTCATATATGGCTGCATATGTTCTCCAATGAATGATGCAAAAATGACATTATCATCTCCCTTCTGTCTGTCATGATTTGAGAGCAAGGCGCCCCTGCTACTTGCTCCACCATTGCATTTTGCAGGAGTCTTCTCCCATCGTGCTGAGGACTCCCATGCATTCTCACTGTTCCAAATGCGACCCCCATTTATTTTGAAGCTATGGAAGGCAGCCTTCTCACTCTTTGGTGTGTCTGTCAGCCTCTCGTAAGGATATCACTTGCAGACAAGTTTTTTTTTTCTGCCAAATCTTCTGATCCAGACTTCTGTCTGCAATCTCCAGAAAACTTTTGGCGAGTGAAAATTGTCCCTAATATGTTAGCATGCATAACTCTGTCACTCACCATTGCTGGTCCTTTAGCTTGACACTCTTTACTTTTCAAAACTATATTAACCAAAAACCAGCAGCTAGTTTTAACCTCATTGCATCATCTTGGTAACGATCAAACAAAATGTATTTTTCATGAAGACTAATAAAACCCTGTGCAACTCTGAATCTCCTATTGTCCTGTTAAGACCA